ATGCCCTCAGCAGGCAGGCAGGCAGGCAGGCATCACGAGCCCCCTCTCCAGGCTCACCTCGCTGAGCATGCCCTCAGCAGGCAGGCAGGCAGGCATCACGAGCCCCTTCTCCAGGTGAGGAGCCAGGGCACAGACTGACTGGCTGCACACTGAGATCAGAGCTCGGGCCTCCTGCCCTGCAGTCCAGAGCCCTCTCCTCTGGGAAGGAGAGGCAGGGAAGCAGTGCAGGATGTGGACAGTGCACTGGAAGGGGGTATGCGGGCAGGGCTCCAAGGCCCCTCCCCACTGAGCTACTAAGGCCCGAGGGTGGGCCTCTCTCTGGCCTCAGCATCCTCACCGGGGCCAGGGGACCACTGGGACAGCCTACGGGAATCCCTCGGCAATGTGGGGCCACCCTCCCAGCCAACAGCAGCAGAGGCAAGTCGTCCAGACTGGGCTCTGAGTCAGTGTCACAGTCAGAACGAGACACCCCACCAAGGATTGCCACGGCCCTGCACTCGCTGATCCACCAAGGCACCAACCGAGCAAGGCACATCCACCTCTTTAAGCTGCAGCTGAGGACACGGCTCGGGATCCAGAAACACCCCCGGGCAACATCTCCTCAGACAAGCCCTGGGGGTTCCCCTTCAGCTGGCCAGGAACGCCAAGGAAAGTTCCAAGGACTCATCACCAAAGGAAAAAGAAACCAAGCCAGTTACCACTGAGACAACTCCCAACTCATGGCGACCCCGTGTGTGTCAGAGTAGAACTGCACTCCACAGGGTTTTTAATGGCTATCTTACAGAAGCGGGTTGCCAGGCCTTTCTTCCATGGCACCACCAGGTGGATCTGAACCTCCAACCTTCTGGTTAGCAGCTGAGCACAAACCCTTTGTGCCACCCAGGAACCAAAGAAATAAATAAAAAAACCAAACCCACTGCCATCAAGTCAATTCCCACTCATAGCGACCCTAGAGGACAGAGCAGAACTGCCCCACAGGGTTTCCAAGGAGTGGCTGATGGATTCCAACTGTCGACCTTTGGGTTAGCAGCCTGAGGTCTTAACCACTGTGCCACCAGGCTCTAAAGAAATAAATACCAACCAAAAATATCAAGAAATGGGGAGAGCCACTGAACCTGAGTGCAAGAAGAAAGGGAAAACAGTATTTGGAAAAACAATACGCAAATATTTAGTCTACAACCTGGCGAATGCTTTCATTCTACTGTTGCATCCACCAGTTGAATTAAGGGCTTCTCTGGGCTTGAGTCATTCACGCGATATCAGCGGGTAATCCACCCGATGTCTTTGTATGACAATCCTCTCTAGGTACTCAGGAATTTTTTTTTTGTTTAACGCTGATACTTGTTCTGATGGAGTAATGCTGAGACACTAAAAGGGACAGAAGAAACGTATTCCCATCTCATTAGAAATCCTTCTCACAGGAAGAAACGAGGCATTAGTTTCAGCACCGATGTAGGCAGTCCTTCTACCAGCCACGGCCATCCTAGTCCGAAGGGGCAGTAAGACACAAAGCGTGGAGGGGGTTCTGGCTGCAGGAACTTCGTCTGCAAGCCAGAGACAGCAGTGCCCCCTCACAGACAGTGAGGGCCCAACAGGAGAGGACGCTGCAGGCCTCTGCTTTGTGAAGACTCACAGGGCCTGAGACCCAACAGCGTGCTCACCTCCGGTGCAGACCCACAGGGCCCGAGACCCAGTGGCCAGAGCACCCAGCAGCATGCTCACCTCCAGTGCAGACCCACAGGGGCCCAAGACCCAACGGCATGCTCACCTCCAGTGCAGACCCACAGGGGCCC